TATATTTATATTTATATTATTTTATTTTTATATTTATATATAAGCCACGATTATTCATTAGCTCAAGTATTGTTCCAATTCCTTGTTTGAAAGGCATACGTCATGGGATAAGAAGTAATGAAATTTACATACATAAATATAGCAATCCGGATATGTCCAGCAATTTATGACATCTTTGACTTTGAAGATATCAGGACCAAAGACATTGAACCTGCGGTGGCACCCGTGCCAGACCGGTCCGCTGCTCAAGTTCCGATCGCTTGCTTGGTTGGCGATGTCAATTATATTTCAATAAGTATACATATATAGATAGGATAGGGTAGGATAGGGTAGGATAGGGTAGGATAGGATAGGATAGATAAATAGATAGCTGGATAGGTAGATAGGTAGCTAGATAAATAGCCATGGGCATAGACATAAATAGATAGATTAGATAAGACAAGAGAACAGATGATTATATAGATTGGATTAGATAGGCTAGATTAGATTAGATCAGATAGGCTAGATTAGATTGGATTAGATTAGATAGATAAGTACAGATAGATGTAGTGTCTCCCTATCGCTGAAAATGGGGGTTATCATCAGACGTAAAAACTGGACACCTGGAAGGTACAAAGTGCAAAATACATCAAAATACCAGACACCATGAGATAATAAGAGATATAACATGATATAACATGATATAACCAAACATCATAAGGCACAAGTACAATCCCCCCAAACCAACATAGACTCCGCCAACTAGAAGCTTTTTCACGATCTTCAGAGTCCCTAGTGTTGGGGGTTGCTATATGGACGCCAGTAAGTACTGTCAGCCAGGTTTGAGGACACAGGAGGATAGATACTCCCAAGCATCCATCAAAAAAATATACATTTAAGTCCCCCATAGATGTTTCTAAGTTATAAACTGTTATAATTCATCCATGTTCCCATTTTTTGGTTGGTCTTTCGACCCTTCATTTTACCATTTGGTTATTTAACATAGCCGTGGAAAATGGCCCATAGAAACAGATGATTTTCCTAGCTAGAAACCTCCATTTATAATGGATTTTCCAGTTCGCTATGTTAAATAACCAGATGGTTTCCCAATAAAACCTCCAGTTATAATGGCCCATCTGGTTATTTAACTCATCCACGTTAAATAACCAGATGGTAGCTCTCCGCTCAGGACCGGGAGACGTTCATCGGAGCCAGTGAGGCCCACAATCATCCCACCCTCACCTGAGCTCACCGCACTGCAGCGGCCAAGGACGGCGAAGACACACCGGATGCTGCCGATAACCCCAAGTGAAAAGGCTACTTTAACGGGTTTGAATGGCGATGTTAATAATGTTGATAGTGTTGATAGATTTTACTGGTCATGTTAGGTCTTGGTGGCAATTCTTTGGGGATCATGATGATTAGCAATCAGAAAATATCGATAGTGAGTTGGTGCAGACGGGAAACGTCCATTTTGGAATGTTTTCAGGCGACCTGGAAAGGCGAAAAAACCGGAGTGTGGAGTGTTGTGTTGGAAAGGTCAAGCTGGTGGGTACATGGTCTTGTTGAAAAAATTGCGCTAGGAAAGCGTATGATGTGGTGGGATATCCCTGGTTCTTGGACACAGTCAGGAAGCGGGTATATAGATTATTCAATACGGATGATGATTTAGCCATCAGAATTAATTAAGTTGGAATGGAAGGGAACCAAACGCGGCAATTGAAAACCCTATATATAAATAGTTTTATACATATATAATCATATATATATATATATGCGTGTGTGTGTGTGTGGAGGTTTTGCTGGAAAAATCATCTATAGATGGCGGATTTTCCATCAAACCATGTTTGTTTACAAGAAGGTACATCCCTCAAGTTATTGGTGATGATGGTTCCATTTGACCACTATTGACCAACATGTTTCAGATTGAGAAATGCCGAAATTCAATGACATTCAATGAATGCTATCCATTGCTATCCTATTTATTGGGGTCCAAACCCCTTCAGATGGGAGGTTTTTGGGGGGGTTCACCACAGCACTGTCAATGCACCGAGGCGATAGGGGAAAGAGAAACATACTACTTGGTACTGGTTACTCTAAGTGTGTTGTTTTATTATTCTTATTTAGTGTGCATCAATAGTTCTAAATTCTAAATGTTCTTGAGGCAAAAAATCACTCACACACACATGTATATATATAATCATATATGTATATATATATCAGAAAAATAAGAGATATAAACGTCATAACTTTCGCATTTTCGCCGTCGCCAGGAGGGATAGCTTTCCAGCTGAGAAAGAGTCGCCATTGCCGTCGCCATAGCCCCAGTTGTTCAGCGCTTCCACCGGGACGCCATGGGACCATGGGACCCGCGCCTAGGAGCTTCAACTCGCTTGAGGGTGAAGGAGGCGATACTGAGGCCGCCGAAAGCCCATTTTGACCTACCATGGGCTTGAAAATGGTTGAAATGGCACCCATCAAAATGGCGATGACCTGGGGAAGGTTAGTTTCTTTGGTGAGGCGCAGAAGCCGCCCCAAGCCCCAATGCCCGGCCACCGAAAGCCCGGCCCTCAACGGGTGGCTGTGATCTTTGTGCAAGGTGGGTTATGGATGTTACCCTCTTGTAAACTAACATAGCTATTGAAAATGGCCATTTATAGTGTATTTTCCCATTGAAAATGGTGATTTTCTATAGCTATGTTAAATTACCAGAGGGTATGGGTGATGGAAGACACCAAAACATGTAGTAGTCCGATGGGCTTTCAAAGGTTGTTGATGGATTTGGTAGTTTGAGAAAAGAAATTCTTGGTGATTTGGATACCCTCTGGTAAACTAACATAAGTATGGAAAATCACCATTTTTAATGGCTAAATCAACTGTTCACTATAAAATCCCATTAAATCACTATAAATCCCATTCAAATACCATTAAATCACCATTTTGACCATTGCTATCCAAAGCTATCCCCAAAATTTGTCCACATGGCTTGAGCCATCGGTTTTCAGGCCGCGAGAGCGTGGAAATTCAGAAGAAACCGATGCGAGGCCGTTGATAACGTGACCGGTTAGTGTTCTGACCCTTCTAGTGGGTGCGTATCTATGTAGAGTTCATATTATATATATATTATTATATAATTATATAAATTCCTGTTGTGCCATGGTCAAAAGATTTGTCCAGTCTTCTGGTTTTCTCACATTGGTCTCTGATTCCCGCCACCTGTGCCTGGGGTTGGATGACTGTGGACATTGGCTCCGCTAGGCCCGTGTAGATGGATTAGATACCCATTGGGCCATTGGTCATCGATCCAGTAATAGGGATTTATCTACCCCCTTTGTTTCTGGATTCCTATGGGATTGATGACCATGACCCATGTAGTGTTTCACATTAATGTAACCATGTTTTGACCTTGGCACATGTAGTGATATATATAGATTATATAGGACTGATATAGGTAGATCAGCTATTCAATTGACAGAACATGCCACAGCTGGATCCTTTTCAGCGGCCCAGTTTCTGGCCACTGTCTCCGGCCCTATCGGGAATCTCTGCGACGAGCCTTTCTCAGCCAAGGCGCGACCTTTTTTGGTGAACATCCAATAGCATCCATAACATTGTGGGGGCCCAGTAGTGTTTAACATGTTTTAAGCATTTTTAACCTATCTTCGTGTTCGGACGTCCTAGAATTCAGCTCTGGTGGATGCGTTCGTCCGGCAAATGGGATGATTGCGATCGACATCAAGTGATTATTAGTCGAAGAAGGTTGACCAATGTTTTTCAATGTTTTTGGGTGAGTTTAGAAACCACCACGCGCTTAATGCGCTTATAACAAGTGATCATGCTGAAGTGTCTTGAAAGTCAATCTAGAGCACCGCCAGCTCATGAATCCTCTCGTGGGCCGGAGGTTCAAGGGCCTATTCAGCGCAAGCCCCTTGCAGGCACCAAGGATACCGTGCTCGGCTCAGGCCAAGTCTTGGGGCTAGTTGATGATACCACAAGTTGATGAATCAGAATCCCAATGGTATCCCCATGTCATATATACATAGTCATATATATAATTATATATATACATATATATATATACATAGTCAGATACCACATGTTCATCCATTTTCGGGTATCCCCATGATCCCATGTCCCATGATCCCGAGGCACATGGCTCCTGGGCAGGCCAGCATGGCCAGCTGATCCTCATCGGAATGTGATGAATGTGTCTCAAAAATTCTCAAAATGAATCCTTTTTTTTTGAGACCCAAGTTGACACAAATGACACAAATGATGTTGAGTTTCCCCAGGAGTCATGGCAAATGCAATCAAATGCTCTGCTTTTTTTTGGGAGGTCGATGAGTCCACCGCTCAGTAGATACCTCAGGACTGACATTTCGGGATGAATTTCCTGTGATTTAAAAGTGGGTTTCGATATGTTTTTCCATGTTTTTCCTGATAACTTTGCATGTTTTGTTAAGATTAGCCTCTGGTAAATAAACATAGACCCTGAAAATCACCAATTTTTAATGGAAACTAGTCTTCCAACCCCTATCTGCCAGGGTCTATGTTAATTTACCAGAGGGTAGCAAGGATCGAAACCGAGGCTCCGAAGCCTTTTACCCTTCCCAAAGGCATCGAAGCTCGCAACTCAGGACGCAAAGACGTTCGCGATGGTGATGGGATGTCAGATATGTAAAGACAAGGAAGATCTATATAATTACATAATTAATTATAGTTATATATATATTTATTTATATAATATATATATATTATTTAGGAAAATGAGAGATGAATAGAGATGAATCATGATGAATTTGTGGGTATCTCTTTCTAGCTGCTGTTCTTTCCACATTTGGAACCCCAAGGCATCTCATGGGTCAACCCATTCCCCCAAGGCCAGCACCAGCTCCAGTTTCAAGAAGCACGTGCGATGCTAAGAAAAGTGGATGCTGACAGATCTTGGTTTTATTGGGTTTCTTGTGTTTCATTAGGCCTGATTATATACACTTACATGAAAAATCATAAATAAGCCCGATGATGATTGAACACTATTACTTTATGCTTCACGGTTTTTTGTTATGGCCAATGGTGATTAGTCATGAATAGCTATGGTTAGTTTTTTTGGTCAAAAAAAAAAACAGAAACTTTCAGCCACAAAGCTTAGCTAAGTGGATAGCTTCCACCAAGGACATCTACGCCACTAGAGCCATCAGAGTCAGAGCCTTTTTGGGCTCCTTTGCCAGAGCAAGTTGAAGCTGAGAAGGCCATGCTTTTTCGGAGCGGGGGTGGGAAAAGAAAGAAGCCGAATTTGATTTAGAAAAATTGAAATTTAGACAAAACAAATCTATGAATCTATTTAATATAGTTCGTTTCAAAACACCCGAGTGCAGCACTAATGATACGACGATTGCCATTGGATCATTGACCGGATTTTATTTCTGTCGTTTGGCAGGCACGGCCAAAGTTCCTTGGCACCAATAGGGGGCCCTGTTGAGAGGGAAGGACGGCGTATGTAGTTCGCATATTATTAGATTTTCAAGCCATTGTTTTATCGCATAAAACATCATCCAAATTGTCTAGTGCGGACGCAGCTTCAGACTTACATAGACTTGGGGTTAGTGGAGGTTACCCCAGGGCAAACTAACATAGATTTGGAAAATCCACCATTTAAAGATATATTTCATCATAAACATAAACCATTGCTTTTCCACATTTATCTTAGTTTACTCCAGGGTATGTACAGTAGATATCGAAAACATGAGAAACGCGCCCCCCCCAGCAGCACCAAGGTTGCACGAGCCCAGCGCCGAGGGAGTCATGAAGGCGGGCCAGCTGGGTTTGCATTTGGGTGATTTACTGTTGCCACGTTCGATTACCATGAGGTACTTCTGTTTGGGATACAATTGTTATATCATTATGCTCTTCCCGATGCTACTTGTTATTCTATGTTATTCTTCTACTTGAATTACCATCATTGATCATCATTGAATCTCAATGAAAACAATTATAAGAATGGTAGTACTTTCGGTATGACTATCACTTGAATATGTTTGACTACTTCCTATCAGTTGTCCAAACCATCCCTTCCACATTTGGGGATCCCGTCAGGATCTGGATGACCTTCAAGCTATGTTGCATTCATTGGGCCAACCAGGAAACCTGACAAAGGCGCCTGGAGAGAAAGTCCTGCCATGGCTGATTCCGGTTAAAGATCGGTTTCTTTGGAAGCAGGTACCCCAAAGTCCAATATTTGATCATGCTCGGTTTGCTAATAAATGGATATAAAATGATATAAATGGCCATTTGAACTGGCATTCTCCAGTTCAAGCCGACACATCCAAATATCCAAATCAATGCGTTTGGGTCTCAATCTAAGGGACGGTGCAGGAATGATGATCCCCAATCGGGATCAAATGATCAAACGTGTAGGTCTAGGTGCGCCATGTTGCGCCCCATTTTTGAACTGCCAATTGACTATAGTGACTGGTCCTTTCCTCGGGAGGTCAAAGATTTTTTTCCACCAGTTTCATGGACCAAGATTCTGGCAGGCTGAAGTTGGCACTTGAGCAATCTAGAGGACTTACATTCACCTCTGAGATGCCGAGAGGAAGAACTGGTCTGCCGTTTTTTTCATCTTCAAGCATGTTTGGGATGATCGTTGAATCACTTCTTCTGTTTGGCCGTTGATATTCTTGACATGTAGAACCCTCCAATCTTTGGTTCTCCATATGTTCCTCCGTGCTCGGTTTCGATAATGCACAACGTTCCATTTGAACGTTCAAGGCTGGGGGTTGCTGGGGGCGTCTGGTTCCAGACTCTCACTGGATGTGGGGGAATGGAAGCGGGTTTCCCGCTCCCCACGTTGAAATTTCCGCGAATTAGTGGCGTTGCCGAATGCGCGCCCATGGCCAGATACGTTGCGGTTCTGCCATGCCATGTGTTTATTTTCCAGGGCTTGTCGGACTTGTCAGCTAGAACCTGGATCTTTGTTTGAAGGGTGCCCTCAGACAGCTCGCAGAACGTGAGCGGAGCGTCGCCGAACGCGCCGCTGCGGCTGCTAGGGTCACCTTTTCAGCAGACCATGACTTCGCTTTTTCACAGAGTCAAACTGGCCGCCTTGCAGTTATACATTTCGTACCCTCCCCCATGGCTATATTATATATCAACATGTTGCGCTGGTGTTTGTTTGTTGGTGACGCGCTTCAACACCGCAGCCGTTCGAATCCTAACATCACCAGTTGGAGATGATTCAGTCAAAAGACCTAAACAGTTCGCACAGGTCAGAATTAGAAAAGAAAGTACAATGTAAAAGATACACTTAGAGTGGTATGGCTGTTGCAGTTGGATGTTACATGTGGTTGATGGGGAGCTTGATGGGTGCACAAGCCGCCTACAAATCAATGATGTGTTGGTGGTTGCTATTGGGAAGACCACGAACATCAGCCTTGAAAATCATGGGATTTATGATGCTGCTTTGGCCAGCTCAACCACCAGCGAAAAAGATGGAGCCCGTCATCAAACTTCAGGCACCTTGCCATCAGACAACCAGCCCCGTCATGTCGGACGCGATTTCCGACCTGGAGGACCAAGTTTACCAGAGATGGCAAGGTATTGAAAACCACACCCCATGCCAGCTTTGTTGTTATCAGTTTTTGTTGAACTGATATTCCGATATGGATAGGGCCAAGGTAGTTGTACAATGTTGTACACATTACGAATATAGTATTGAACAGAGTTCCAATCTCAAATGATCAACCAATCTTCAATCATCGTTATGGTATTGGTAAGGCGACAGAACATGCTTCATTGGTGGGGCCAATGTCATCATCAAGTACTGTACTTCATATTCAATAAATCCATTCGCGAATTTTAAACAATGTTCAACCTTGCTGGAAATGCTCATGTAGAATTTATCGAGGAATCACAATATAGTTGAACCTGTCTGCCCTCATCAAGACATTTGACATATGTTTGAAAACTGATTGTGCCATAGAATGTCAGATGGAGATAGATGGAGGTGATCACATCCATGGGGGGTATTGGGGGGTTAAATCGTCCATTTTGGCGGATTTTCCATGATTTTCCAGTGAAAATCATCCAGCTATTGGGGATCCCCCGTGACATCCCATGACCATCCAGGAGCTGCGCCCCTTCCGCCGGGTCCTTTGCCAAGACCGTACCCCAGGTTGTCCCACCAGGCAGTTGGGACCTGGAAGCCACGTGCAACTGGACCTCCTGGGGAAGCTCGGTGCAACTTCGGGATTTCATGATATTTTTATTGTTATTATTGTTATTTATTATTTTTATTATCATTATGTTTTAATTTTTATTTTTTTATTATTATTGATAATTTATGATAATTTATATTATTATTATTAACAATATGATTATTATTAATAATATGATGATTATTATTCTGATTCTTATTATTAATATTTTATGATGATTATTATTAGTTTGATTGTTATTAGTAGTATGGTTGTTGTTATTTTATTATTACATTATATTATTTTTAATAATAAAAATAGTAATGAATTAATTATTAAACATATATATATTATATATATACACATACATTATATCTATATAACTGTATGTATTGATCGCGCATATTGTCATATGCACTCATAAAATTATCGACATATGTACATATAAATGTGTGTGTGAATGTGTGCTTGTAATGATTATCGTGTATGCGCATGTTCGACACTCAAATGTCACAATAAGAGCATCCAATCTTCAGGGGTCAAAACTTCTGAACGCCAAGTCGAGCCAAGGATTTGCGGCCACGGCCTGAAAGGTTCGCAAGGCCTCCAACCATGGCTTCGTCGGGTCCTTGGGGTTCTGGTCAGTTCTGATAGCTGTCGCTCAGGGGATGGCCTTTACAGCTGCAATCGTTCTGTGACGTCGCGGTCTTAGTTCGGGTCCCGGTTGTCGCTGCGATGGTCCCGGAATGTCGAACTGGGGCAGACCATGGCCCAAAAAGTGGGAAAATCTGCTCTGCTGGAGACGAGGGAGAAAAACCTAGAGGAGTGAGAGATGAAGGAACACCAATCGGATTGATTTTGGGGGTACCCATGGGCACCCTATCTCCAGACCAACCCCATTGGTAGCTCCGCATCCTCAACCTTTGCCCGAGGCCAGCGTGCGCTGAACTTTGCGGTGAAGGGTCAGGGCTTGGTGGGAGATTTGAAGTGAGAAAAAGGACACCAAATCAGATAGGAAATCAGACATGTTAACGACCAAACAAGGGACATGAAATGAAATGAAGCGTTATTTCACTAACATACCACTGGTTTCGGAAGATATGTGACTCTTGCTACACAAAAGTGTTGGATCGCGTTTTCAGGCCCTTGCGGTTGGAAGACTTCCAGGGCTACTTGGCAGCTGCCTCAGAAAGGTCATATGGGGTTTGTGTGAAAATGGGGGCATGCCCAAAAGTTGCAATGGAAAAAACATATGATTGGACACATATGCGCCAAATATTGATATTGAAAATTTATGAAAATGGAGCTTTAAAGTAGGTGATGCAGCGGAGGACCAACTGCCGGAGTTTGCGGCTCAAAACTCACTTGTTTTTACATGTCATCTTCTTTTGAGAGGGGTATATATTATATATGTATATGTATATGTATATATATATATTTATATATTAGAGGGAAGGGGAGAGAAAGATGCATATATGTATATATCATAATTTCAGACAAACCCGTATATTTTATTCGAATAGTGAAGTATATGCGCACCCATCATACATATATACATAAATACATATACATACATATCTCTATATACATATATATATACATATATATATACACATGCATGAAAGTATTGGAAAATTGATTAATTGATGGATTTGGGGTTACCCAAGTTTTTGAGACCTCTATCTTTTTTGTCCCCGGAGATTTGGCGCTGAAACTTGCCAGGACGAAGTCCTATCTACGAATCCATTTGAAGGCGCGGTTTGCCTCGTGATGGCACAGCATTCTGCTGAATCCTGTCCCCTCACAGCTAGTGATTACAAGATGCAGAAGTGGGTACAGTATGTGGGATAGGATAGGATAGGATAAGATAGATAGATAGATAGATAGATAAATAGATAAATAGATTGATTGATTGATAGACAGATAGATCGATAGATAGATCGATTAGATCAATTAGATCGATTGGATCAATTAGATCAATTTCATCAATTAGATAGATAGATAGATAGATCGATAGATAGATCGATAGATAGATCGATAGATAGATCGATAGCTAGGCAGATAGCTAGGTAAGGTAGATAGATAGATAGATAGGCAGATAGCTAGGTAGATAGCTAGGTAGATAGATAGATAGGCAGATATCTAGGTAGATAGCTAGGTAGATAGATAGATAGATAGGCAGATATCTAGGTAGATAGCTAGGTAGATAGATAGATAGATAGGCAGATATCTAGGTAGATAGCTAGGTAGATAGATAGATAGATACGCTCACTGGAGTATGTCATGGCCATAAAAATCACCTCACCTCCCATGCATCCTGCAGGTATGGACGAGCCCTGGGATGTGCCACAGGTGGACTTGACGCTCCCGCGGGCCTTCATTTTCCTCTCCCAGCGTCCCAAAAGCCCAGTTTCATTGGCCGTTCTCATGGTATTTCTCTCTACTTGTGATGATCATCCCCATGTCACCCTCATTTCATCCCCATGTTCCATGTTTTTTCACCATGTTTTGGATGTCTTTGGTCTGTCCAGAACTGAATGACGGGAAAATTTGACCGGAGACCTTTAGATTTGTAGCTAAAATATGCTAAAATCATGGTTTCCCTTGATGTCCCCAACTAAGCCCAATCCATTGAGTTTTGGTTGTTGTACTTCACAGCCCGAGGCCAAGCCCTTTATGTTGCCCTTCGCACCCTGGCATTGAAGATGCAAAACCCGCAGTCCAATGTGCTGCCCTCAGTCTCTTCGCAGGCGCAACCCAAACTCCAATGCGCAGCTGCCCAAGCAATTGCCAAATAGGGTGTTGGAAGATTGGTTTCCCCAAGTTTCCCCACTAAATTTGGGAATTTTCAGGATCTACGTTAATTTGAGGGATGGTATTTTTTGTGCATCTCCTGCCGTCATTTGTGCCCAAATGCAGTATTTGCTTCTATTCAGAAAGGAGGAAGTCTATCATCTCTGGTGCCTCACTTCGGACTCACAGAGCTGTATTCTGCAAATGCGTTAAGCTGACACATCTTCCAGATTTAACACAGAACTATCCATCCCCTGCAGCAGTGCGACTGGTGCGACTGATGGGCGGCCAGCCAAGCCAAGAGCTGCCACCGGAGAATCCCCACTCGGAGATCGAGAGCAAGGCCATCGATGCATATGCTGCATCTGGCTGTTGCTTGAGGGTGTCAAAATGTAAGACCACCCATAATTCAAAAGGTTGCAAAAATACACGCATATATTCTAATATATTCGTATTTATGTATGAATTATGATATATATATATATACATTATATACATTATGTGTGTGTGTGTATGTATATATATATATATATAACATATATATATATAACATATATACAACCTGTATTTTGCGTGTGCAGACATGTACGGCACACATACTGTAGCTGTGTCTTTTGCAATGTTAGATATCATGCGGAATGGCGCTGCTTGAGGCTATGACTTGGATCCAAGAACATCCCATCTTTGAGACCGAGGTACCTGAGGCGACGCTCGGTTTTTATTCTGATGGTTTGGCTGAGTGGCAATAGAATTCAATCTAACTTACGTGTATAGTTTTTTAGATACTGTAATGATGTATATATATATAGATATATTATATCAAGGCATAGCAACACATGCAAATATCTCTATGTATACATCTTATGTATGCAAATATATCTACCTTATATGTATGTATACGTATGTATACGTATACCTTAGTGCTGTGTGACATCGATGGATGGATTTGTTTTGGGAGGGCTATCTTTGGGGGGAAATATGTTTTCCGTTTTGGGCATTTTTTTTGATTTCTGGTTCCCTGCTTCTTTGCTTTTCTACTTTTGCTTTTCCCTGCTTCCCTGTTTGTATAGTTCTTTGCTTCTCTGCTTCTCCGCTGTGCTGCCTATCTGCCCCTCCGCTTTTCTGCTTTTCCCAGCTTTTCTGCTTTTCTGCTTCTCTTAAACCAAGCCTACATAAACTAATAAATAATAAACCCTAAAAAGATCCTAAACTATCTTATTGAAAAAAAACACTAAATCAACCCTAACTCTAAAACCAACCGTCAAACAACTTTAAACCAAAAAATAAAATAAACTAACCCCAAATGAACCCCTAAACTAACCCCAAATGAACCTTAGTTGCAAACTACCATGTTACATGAACAGTTCCAGCACCAAAATGTTGCAAATTCCATCGAAAATGAGAGGTTCGAACTCAAACATGCTGCAAATACCCTTGAAACGGCAGCTTCCAGCTCCAAAATGTTGCAAATTCCACCAAAATGTTGCAAAATCGATAGAAAATGAAAGTTTCCAACTCCAAGATATTGCGACAGTTGAAATGGCAGCTTCCAGCTCCAAAATGCTGCAACTAGCAAGGAAATCGGGCAGAAAAGCAGATCCAAAAAATGCCCAAAACGGAAAAAAATAATTCCCAAAACAATTCCGGACCCTTTGCTTTGTCATATGTCATCCTGAGGAAACTCAAACCTTCAGCCTGCCCTGTGGTTCCACATGCTTTCCAGAGCCTAGGTTGCGATTTCGGCAGAGGTGGCAACTATATTCCAGATTTGTGTATGTACACTCTGTGCTGTCTTGGAAGGGTAGGAAGTACGAAGATGAGTGTAGGATTCTCCTAATCATTTGACATATTGAAATGGATTACCTTGGCTCATTTTCAGGACCCCAACTCATGTTACAGGCGTGTTCACATGATAAGCCTGACCAGAAGGTCAAACTTCACGCTTTAACATCTTTGACATGCAGTTGGTGGGAGGGTTCTTATGCATATTTGCGATGGGTAAGAACCACAATAGCATATGGCATACCATGTTTTGGCGCGATAAACATCCAGCATCATCCAGCTATTTTCCTGTGGACACAGGGTACTGATCGATCTGATCGCTGGAAATGGTTCAAGGTCGGCCTTAACCGATGACAACTTTGGGATCAGCTTCAAGTATCCCATCACCGCCACCCACAGTGCCAAGTCAGCAAGATGCAAAAGATTTTACCAGGATCTCAACAGGAAACCATGGTTTTTATATGTTGTTAGTGACCCAATAGGATGGAAAAAATGGGGTGAAAAATGGTTTCCTGATCATTTCCCCACCAATTCGAGATTCCGAAGACTGTGGGGGTTGCTTCAGATATGGACCAAATAATGGTCTATCCAGAAAAGTCTAGCGAGAGAGAGAGAGGAAAAAAAGGAAGAGAGACGTGTTAATCCCACTAATCCCAAATACATCCCACTAATCCGATTACATCCCACTAACCCTAAATAAATCTCCCAAGACCCCCTGGTTTTGTGTTGGATCCACTCGATCATTTCGTTTTGGATCTTTTTGGGGTCCCATGGGGCTGCGGGTCAACCCCCTGGTATTTTGGTGAATCCGCACATAGCTGGGATTGGATGGATGTTGATCCCACCAAAAGATTTCAAAATATGGTAGGCCTTTACACGTCCCAATTTTTTTGTGCCATGTTGTGTCATGGCCAAAACTTGGAGTGTATACAGTTATACCCATGTTGGGGGAATGTACATCAATCATATTCAATCATCACCAATCCATGAATGGAAATTTATATACCAGATTCCCATTCTGGGGATGACCATAATCCATATACCATGGCACATCCCATCCTTGGAGCAAGCTGGCCTGCCTTAAGGTCTTGACGACCTCCAGGCTGCGCATTTTGACGTTGCCCCTGTGTCATCCTGTGTCACGGCCACGGTAATTTCACCCTTTGGTGGCCTACACAATGACGCAGCTGCTTCATATTTCATCCATATTCGCGATGTTGATCCCGAACCGAATCTCCAATGACTTTCAAATTTGGGCATTTGGTGAGTTGCTCCCAGCAGGCAGGGCTTGACTACATGTGGGTCCAGCGTTTGGAGCTCCCCATTGCAGCTTGGCATTCTTTGTTTCGAATGGCTATGGGTCCCAACTTTGAGTTCCGGGGTTGCTGATGTTGACCTGTTTGTGTTTTCTTTGAACTATCGATTTTGCATGATCATGCCATTCTTGTTCAGTCATATTGTCAATCATGGCCAATGTCATTTTAGGGGTCCAGACGGCCAAGTTAGAGCCAAGGACTTCTGCGACTCTTGGTGGTGTGTCTTGGCGACATTGCCAAACATGACATTTGCGCAAGATGAGAACGGCCAACACATCAGGCAGCAGAAATCTCCCAGGGACGGTTTTGACTCGGCCGCAGCTGTTTGTCACTCTATGAATGATCTAGGGGCGTAGGGTGCTGTGATGTTTTTTTTCTGAATAGCTATTTGGTCAACCACAGCAGTGAATAGGTCGCCAACCACAGGCAATATCATGTGATCATATCTACATATATATATATATGTATATATATATGCATATATATATGTGTGTGTATGTATATATATATATGTATATATATATATATATATGTATGTATATATATATGTATGTATATGTATATTTGCCACAGGCAGATTATCTGCATATATCATATATATCCCATGATTTATTGGGGCACAGTCTGAATCAACCCAAACCTGGCGGATTTCTGCTCGCTTTTGCGAGCGCAGGCTCACCTTCTTTGACGGCAAGAGGTGTGGCATGTCCTGGGTATGGCTGAGAGAACCCCAAGATGTGCATTGTTGGATAATGTTGGATATTATTGGAATAAAATAGGTGGTATAAACCATTCCCACATGGGTGGTTTATGACATTGTTTTACCCACATTATACTGGGAGATGTTAATGTTTGAAGTAAATTTGCAGGCGCGAAATGACTGTGAAATCCTGATGCGAGTTGTGCTCCAAAGGCCGCCTTATGTAAAATCACGGCTTGCGCATGCCAGCAGGGTAAGTCCCAATATGACCAGTGGCAGGATCCTACTTCTAGATACCTGTATACTTGCATAGTTATATATGTATATATATATATATGTAATAATATAATATGCATATATATACATATATATATATACATATATATATATATATATACATATAATTATATATATACATATAATTAGATATATACATATATTTATATTAAGATATCAATCATCATAATAATTTATAATTATTCATATCTAGACGGGGGTCAGCAGATTTTATTTTGATATTGTTTGATCATAGCAATTGCCATGGCTTCCCGCAGCCGCCGCGGCGCCTCCGGCGCGCCCCGCAAGCGCCCGGCGCGGCCACTGGAGACAAAGGCGGAGACGCCCTCGGCGGAGACGACGCCAGCGCCGGAGACGGCAGAGGAGGTGGCGGCGCGGGAAATGGAGGAGATCCGAAAGGAAGTGCGCCACCTGCCTGGGATTTAATGATGTTTTTGGTGTTTTTTGAGACTTTTTGTTGATGGTAAAGAATGATAAATGATGTTATTGAAATTAAGTTTCTGATTGCGACTTTTTGATGATTTTAAGGGTTGTGATTTTGTTTGAAGGTTCATGATGATTTGATGATGATTTATCGATTTTTAGGTGGATTATTGTATTAAATGTGAAATTATTATTGGTATATATTTGATAATCAAATATATACCAATCATATTTCAACATGTTCCAAGAATCGACGGGTCGATTCCACTTGGTTTTTGTTCATAGAACTACCATCGCCAAACACGGGGAGTTTAAGCAAAAAATCGCATATAAATAACCATGATACAGTAAATCCCCTGGCCATGAACCCTCTCTTTGGTGCATGGTTTATCATGAAGATCTCCACAGCACAATGAACCTCCAAAGGTGTGGGTTCTTGCCAACAAAATTTTCATGTTCGACCAAAGAGAGGGGTTTGAAACTACATGAAACTACCAAATGTGGAAATTCGAACTATCAAAACATGGTGATATTAATGACATTATTCAATTCAAAGAGTTTTATTCTCGACTAACTACAGGCTACCCACCATTCTGCCAATAGTGGGGGGCGCGTTGAAGATAAATTGAATTTTGCCCGTGCCATTTTTTAACAAACCATGAAACACCTTGGAGGTCTGCTTTTTGGGTTTGAATACCCAAAAAAACACTTTATTCTTTAGAGGTTGAGACTGCCAGGACAGGTCAGGCAGTTGCTCCAGAAAGAACGACCTGGGTCAGAAGTGAGTTTGATCCAACGTTGGGGTATGAACTTCGTGGCAAAGCTTGGGCAGAATTCGTATCCCACCAAACCGGAGCGATGGCAAAATTCTTTGGCTAGTTTGGGGCGAGAAGCATCTCCAAGAATCGCTCGCAGTAGTGTAGAGACTGCACATGAGATATCACAAGTTGGACCCTGGGGTCATGCATCACGTATCCTTGACTTTCCCGGGCGTTCCAATGTCAGCGTCAGTGTGGCTGAGTCATGGGAAGTGGACAGCGAAGCCTTTGAGGCTGCCTTGCAACATGTACCACGTGACCGATAGAAAGGATTAGAAAGGGGAGAGATTCAGCCTGTTGCAGATGGACCGAAGTAAATAGGTACCCTCCGGTCGAACATGGTAATGGAAAATCCTCTGTTTATAGATGATTTATTTATTAAAAGTTGTGATTTTCCACAGCGAAAAGTTGTGATTTTCCATAGCTATGTCAAATTGCCAGAGAGTAAATGAATGTACAGCGCACAGCATGTTAGGACATCTTTGCACCAAAATGCCGCAGTTTCACCTGGTGTTTTCCGATCTTTACCACCTCTTTGTTGGTTGCATTCCATGCAGAAAGCTGCCATGGCGCTTGCAGCCCGTGATGCAAGGGAAAACCCATCCCTGGGCAATCCCGAGCGGATACTCCGGAGAAACACGATGAGAAAAATGCCCGCTTCTGGTGATGTTTGTAGATGTTTGTAGATGTTTGTTGTACTTCTGTTGAAGATTCTGTTGTTTGATGGCTTGAAATATGTGTCATTTCCCATCCTGGGACGATCCCAAGGGTGCCGGGTCAGGCTGGGCTGGACGGTGGATGCCATGGACTTCAGTGGCTTGAAGGGCGAGGTGAATGAGGAGACTGCACCAGCAGGCGCGGGTACCCCCCAATCATCCAAGGTTTACGTTGACTTGGGGATCCCCCACGATGATACCATGATGATTCGAGGGCCCCCAACAGCAATCCATACGGCATCGATGTACTTCTACTGATTCTACTGCTTGATTCATTAAGGGGTTAGGCGGTTAAGCCTTTTACAACAGGTAAGTAATGACACTGACACTAAGTATATAAATCTAAGTATATAATATGATATATATATATATTATATATATACTGTATATGATTGTATGTGTGGGTAATTGTGTACATATTGTACATATACATATAGTTACATGTGGCCAGCCCACCTAATCTTCCCAATAATGTAATCTCCATACCTCGTACCATCTCATTCATGCCACTCCCTATGAGAGTTTCCCCGTCCGTCCTCAGGGCTCCCGGTTGCTGGATGCAGGTGTGACTGGATGGGAAGTGAGAAGGCGCTTCAAAGGCACTCTTCATTTCGATTGCACCATCCACCTGAGGTAGCTTTAGACCTCACAAGGCGGGCCTCTTGGGTTCACTATGCTGCAAAACAAGTCAAAGAAGAATAATGTTGACATGCACTGCCCCTTCATGCCCTGAATCAGTCTGTTGGATTTTCTTACTTCTGAATTGATACGTTTGAAAGGCCATTCCATTCTGCTTACTCTAAGGCAATCCGAAGGTGGAAAGATTGGGAAAGCTGCCGAAGCAGCAACGCGGAAGATGTGCGATGCTTTCGTTAAAGCGATATCGCGTTCGGCTCCTTGCATGTAAGAGTTGGATTTACACTGGCACCATTTGACTTGATTAAGACGACCACTACACTTTCTATACCATTTTTTAGCCAGAGTGCACAGGGCAAGGTACAAAGTCGGAGCAGATTCGTCCAAGGTGGGTCCAGACTTTGATCAGCACCTGAAGGTTCCCGTGATGCGCTCCTGAGGGGCCTCTAGATAAATGTAAATCTGCAGCGGTGCTCAAGGATGTTCATAGATTCCAGCCAAAGACGCTGTCCACAGCTGTTTCATAGAGCTAAGAAAAAATACGGCCTAAATAATCTAAATAGCTCATCAGGGGTGCAAACCAGGCAAACTCTCGGCCCTTGGAGAAAATCAGATGATTCTGCATGCGTGTGCTGCGTGATGTTGTTTCCACTCTTGGGCGTTGAGCTCCTAGTATCTCCCAGCAGTCTGGACATGGTCGCGACATGGTGGGAAGAGCTGGAGCCCTGAGGCAACAAATGCGTTGGACTACGGCCTGACCCGTGGATGCAACTGGAGGCACGGGATGCTCGAAGCGTTCTGATGCTCCCACTGAGCCACACCTGGCCACACCTTGCCACACCTTGCCACACCTTCAGCTCAGGCCCGTCCCACCGGATGTTCCCGAGCCCAGTCTTTGTGTCTAGGCCTCAGCTTGGGTCAAGCGCATGGCCTGGGCTCGCGGTATCGCTGTTCGTGGCCTAGGACCAGTTCCCACCCTACAGTGGTGTGGATAGCAACGGGTTGCAGGGCAACATCTTCAGCTTGTTGGCTTGGGCACAAGCGCTGGCCATCGAAAACGGCGCCAGGCCTTGTGAAGCACCGGTGAATCTATAATGAGTTTCATGGGCTTGCCCAAAAATGGAGGATGTATATCTGCATGCCCTAAAAAAAAACAATTAATTACATGGGAAAACTATGGAAGAATGATGAGAAATGATGATAAACCATGATAAACATTGACACACCATTTTGGGAGCACTATTTTCCAGGCAAACGCAAATTTCACAAAGGCCGCAAACCACCTTCATGCCAGTTGGCATCAGCGAAGGCTTGGAAGAAAGGCATGTTTCTGGTCAAAGCCCCGGTTCACGAGATGGCTGTCTTTTTGCAGAGCTTGGTAAATGTCCTATTTGGGGGATTTTGAACATCACTTTCAAATATTTGTTGAAGATATCCCCAATATTTGGGTGATGTTCAATGAGGACATTTACCAATCCCCGTTTTGGCAGAAGGAAGTCAGCTGGCTATCCCGTTGCGCTTGGTCGAGGCGGCAAAAAGTTGACGCACTGCTGTGGTGTCCTCACGATTCCGTGATAGCAGAGTGATCCTCAGAGAATCGCTGAAGTTTGGATCCCATCCTGACAGCCCGACGGAGAGAGATTGATAAGGTAAGTTTAGATTGGATTAGGCTCGATTAGTTAGATAGATAGATAGATAGATGTGTGCATGGTGTGTATATATATATATATACACATACATATGTATACATGTACATATACTGTACACATATGTATATATGCATGTGTGGGACCCCAACCTGAACAGATCCAAGACTCAAACACAATTTCTGAGGGTTGTCAGTCAGGGGTTCCCTCACAGCCGCCCTTGGACCCTTAGACATGACAGTAGCCCGCATGAAGGCTGTGAGAGGTGGCAAAAGTGGGCCAGATACCAGGCTGGGTCCCCACCATTGGTAGGTCTCAAATGATCCCCCTTTTGGTTCCATGGTGACCTGTTTGCAGGGCATCTCTGGACACGGACGTCTTTTGGTCCCAGCACAATGTGTCGCTACGGGAGGCGGGGCACGGAAGGAGGAAGCTCGAATTGTGCCCAGCAGAATCTGCTCAGGTTGGTGTTCGGCCCAATGTGTGCCATTTTGAAGCCAGTCGCTGGGCCACCTGCTCAGCGAAATGATGGAAAAAAAACACGCTGAAGGTACAGTTTTTTTCGTGCCAGAGCTTTCTTAGACTTTCAACATGTCTCGGCCAGGTGTGGAACAACAGCATGGATGAGGAGCAGACCAACTTTTGTGACCACCTCATATTATAATATTGTCAGCCATTTGATCGCTGGAAAGATCATCCCAGTGGTTACTGTAGCCCAGGTCGGGGTGCCTGGGACGTCCCAGAGGTGTACTCTCCAGAGGCGAAAGATCCCAGAAGTTCACCCTCAGATTCTTTAGAAACTCAGCATACTTCAAACATCCAACATCTTCGAATCTTGTCCCATTCCGATTTTTTTGAAAGCTGTCTGACATTGTTTGGAATATGTGGCATTTCTGCGGATTTCTGCGGGCTTTTGACCATGTTTGAAACAATTAACCAGCACAGGTGGAGGATTTCATGTCGCGGGACCGGCCTTGGAGTGTGGCGGTGGACATCGCCGGAGCGCAGTACGGCGGCGGCTGCAGCTCTGCGTCGGGGCAAACTTGGGGCACCCAGGCGGGAGCCGAAAAATGTGCGAAGCTCCGGTGTCAGCTCCATGGCTGGAGAATCCCCAGGCTCCATGGAGGTGTTCCAGCCAGTTTTCAATGGTCTTTTGGGGGAAATAAATTTCGGAAATGAATCGAACTAAATGATGGATTTTCCAGCCTTGTTTGATTGCCAGAAGGTAAAGCCAGTAGAAATAGGGGGTTTTACATGGTTTGACCTCACAAAAACAAGGATGCTATGGGGAATTTACCAACAAAACATGGGGATAATTGACCGACAAATAACTAACTAATCATTTGGGTATCTTGTGGACTATCCCAGTTGTAGGGTATACCCTATAGACTGATCCCTATAGTAAACACCAATTCTATCCAATTATGGGGATGGCTTATGCTTGGGTTTCCATGAGTTTGCCACAATGGGATTTTTGTGCGTCTTTTCAGAGTGGGTGCATCAACATGTCGTGGGCCAGCAGCTGCCTTCAACAGAAGTTGAAATGGAAACCAACAAGATGAAGCCCACGAACCCGAATGCTCACACGTATGTTAATGGTACAGATGTCAAAACACATGGTTATGCAGTGACGCACAATACCTTTCTGCAATAGTTTATTTGAACAGTCTTGTGCATGTTTCCCTTGTTACCAGTCTGCAGTGTGGAGTGGAAAGTGTAGAGTGTGGAGTGTGGAGTGTGAAGTAAGGAGTGTGAAGTAAGGAGTGTGGAATGTAAAGTGTGGAGTGGGGAGTGTAGAGTGTGTAAGGTGTAGAATGTGGAGTGTAAAGTGTAGAGTGTGGAGTATGGAGTGTAAAGTGTAGAGTGTGGAGTGTAGAGTGTGAAGTGTGGAGTGTAGAGTGTGGAGTGAGGAGTGTAAAGTGCAAAGTGTGGAGTGTGGAGTGTAAAGTGTAGAGTGTGGAGTATGGAGTGTAAAGTGTAGAGTGTGGAGTGTAGAGTGTGGAGTGTGGAGTGTAGAGTGCGGAGTGAGGAGTGTAAAGTGCAAAGTGTGGAGTGTGGAGTGTGGAGTGTAAAGTGAGGAGTGTAAAGTGTGGAGTGAGGAGTGTGGAATGTGAAGTGAGGAGTGTAAAGTGTGGAGTGAGGAGTGGAAAGTGTAGAGTGTGGAGTGTAAAGTGTGGAGTGTGGAGTGTAAAGTGCAGAGTGTGGAGTGTAAAGTGTGGAGTGAGGAGTGTAAAGTGGAAATCGTGGAGTGTAAAGTGTGGAGTGTAGAGTGTATAGTGTAGATTGCAAAGTATAGAGTGTGGAGTGTAAAGTGTGGAGTGGGGAGTGTAGAGTGTAAAGTGTGGAGTGGAAAGTGTGGAGTCAGGAGTGTAAAGTGTGGAGTGTAAAGTGTGGAGTGTGGAGTGTTGAGTGGAAAGTGTGGAGTGTGATGTGTGGAGTGTAAAGTGTGGAGTGAGGAGTGTAGAGTGTGTAAAGTGTAGAATGTGGAGTGTAAAGTGTAGAGTGTGGAGTATGGAGTGTAAAGTGTAGAGTGTGGAGTGTAGAGTGTGGAGTGTGGAGTGTAGAGTGTGGAGTGTAAAGTGTGGAGTGTGGAGCGTAAAGTGTAGAGTGTGGAGTCTGGAGTGGAAAGTGTAGAGTGTGGTGTGTAGAGTGTGGAGTGTAAAGTGTGGAGTGTAAAGTGTGGAGTGAGGAGTGTAAAGTGTGGAGTGAGGAGTGTAAAGTGTGGAGTGTGGAGTGTAAAGTGTGGAGTGTAGAGTGGAAAGTGTGGAGTGTGAAGTGTGGAGTGTAAAGTGTGGAGTGAGGAATGTAAAGTGTGGGGTGTGGAGTGAGGAGTGTAAAGTGTGGAGTGTAAAGTGTGGAGATGTGTGGAGTGAGGAGTGTAAAGTGTGGAGTGTGGAGTGTGGAGCGTAAAGTGTAGAGTGTGGAGTCTGGAGTGGAAAGTGTAGAGTGTGGTGTGTAGAGTGTGGAGTGTGGAGTGTAAAGTGAAGAGTGTAAAGTGTGGAGTGTGGAGTGAGGAAAGTGCCACGCTTGCCACGCAAAACGACATGACAACCTGCTTGCAAACCTTCGAAAAGGAGAGATTTTGCGGCTTCCCCCATAGACACGACGACGCCACAGGAAAAACCAGAGACCCGAGACGAGACGCATGGATGCAGAAAAACGAGCATTTCGTGCGAGACTTCCTCCAATTTTGACATTTTCAACACGTTAGCAAACAGCTTGGAATGTCACAAAGTGCCACGCGTGCCACGCAAAACGGCTTGGACACATTCGAATAGGAGAGGTTTTGCGGCTTCCCCCATAGACACGGCGAAACCACAGGAAAACCAGAGACTCGAGACGAGACACGTGGGAGCACCAAAACGAGCATTTCGTGCGAGACGTCCTCCAATTTTCACACTTTGAAACATGCCGAAGAGACATGTTTTGCAGCTTCCCCCATAGACACGGCGAAGATGACGCGAGACGAGACAGGTGGAAGCACCAAAACGAGCATTTCGTGCGAGACTTCCTCGAATTTTCACACTTTGTAGCTTCAAAATCGACGTTTTCCTACGAGTTTTCCTTAGAACCTGAAAATTTGCAACCTCAAAATCGATGTTTCGTGCGAGGCTTCCGTCAATTTTCAGCACATCGCACAAAATGCCACGCCTGCCACGGAATTTGCACCTTGTCGCCACTTGACGCAGCCCTGCCAATGCGATTTACAAAAAACACGCAACACGACACGTCTAAAGTGCTGCGCCTGCCACGAAAAATGACGATGGACACCTGCCACACAAAACGACTTTCGACATGTTACAGAACACCTCTGAATGTCACGAAGTGCCACGCCTGCCACGCGAAACGAAGCAACAACACGTCTGAAACCTCCAAAAATGATCCCTCCTGCAAAACTTCCCATAGGCACGGCCATACGGGGATCGCGCGAACGGTTGCGGACGGTTGCGAACGGTTGCGGACGGTTGCGACCGTGAACGCAACGTCGAGCGAACACACCCTCAACCCTCAGACCCCCAGAGTGAAACGGGAACCCTTGCTACGCATTCGGGAAAAAACGACTGATGCCCTGAGGATGAAAGTACGCCCAGCACTCAAGAGATGGATGATCCACGATCCAGCAATATCCAGCATGATCAGCTTGTGAAGTCTGAGGCCCGTTTTTTTCCCTGAAAGTCTGGCCTTGGGTTTTCACTCGAATCCTGGCTGCAAATGGCTGCAGCTACCCACAGCACAGTGACAAATAGATGATCCTGACACCGACGGACCGAGGACCGGAAGATCGCTTGGAACTGGCAGGCCAGTGACCCAGTGATCTCCAGGTTCTGTAATGTCAAGCCCGAAAAAAAACATAAACCATGGTTTATTAGGGTGGTATTCCCCCCATAGTCATGATTTGATACTTAAATGGTACCTTCCCCTTTTCAACAGCCGTTTGGGGTTAACATTAATCCAGGGTTGACTCCGTAGCAATGCTAGCTGAAGCAGCTGTTCTCAGGACGGCTCTTTTGTTCCTCGGTGTGCGCCGCTACTTCAGCGGCCAAAGCGGATCACACGGCAAGGATCGAAGAGGGTGGGGAGCTCAATGCTGGATACCCAAATTGCCATTTAGCATATTTAGTAATATAGTGATTAACCATAGGCTATAGGGATAGGGTTTGTATTTGGATTCATTTAGTTCTATCTTATTGTCAGATACCAAAATGATATTACATGATAATATCAGTTGTTGGCAATATATAAATGGTAGAAAACGTTCCGGCTATCTAAAAATTCACCAGCCGCAGGGTGAGGCCAATGATGCTGAGGTTGAAGCGGCCGTTATTTGTGAGTGGCAATATGTGCGGCAGTTTGCAACATGCAAGGCTCAATCATGCAGCTGGGGACAATCAACCCTAGATTGTTGCTGAAATAATCCCATGACCCCAATTTGAAATAGCTCAAAATAAGGAGTCCAAAATGAATGAATTGAAAAGGTCCAATACGAAACCAGAATTTCCACAGAATCTGTTTTTTTCCGGAAAGGGATTGCGTCAAACGAATTTTACCTTTGTTGCCACAAACAGGGAGATGTATGCGAACCAGCTATAATTGCCTACAAAACCACAGGTTCTAGGGTGTGTTTGACCTGAAGCCCTTAGCCCTCAGCTTCTGGCTCACCCTGCTGCCCCTTTTTGGCCGCAGCAATGGCCAGGGCGTGGCTTGGTTGAATGCTGGAAGGATAGTGGAACCATGGGATATCCGCCTGTAACATTGATTACTAGCACTACAATTCATCACCATCATCATCATCATCATCAAATCTATAATTAGTATTCGGAGAGAAGATCAACTCATTGCTTCATCCCTGCCTCGCAAGGATTTGGCCACAAAATCTCTTCCGTGGCGTGGTGTTTGTGTCATGCGTGGTGCCGCTCTTAGGGTTCTTTTGCCTACCTGTGCAGCCTTTGCTGCGGTGAAACTGGGAATGGGCCAGACATGATGGGGCCACCGAAATTCGCCACCGAGGCGTTCTTTGTCCCAAAGGATGGACAGACCCACGCATGGTCGCTAACCTCGTGGGCTTCGAAGAAAAGCCCAGGGCAGCTGGGTGCTCCCATCCAGGGAGGGGCTTTTCAGGTGCGGCAGTTGGGAGGTCGGTGAATTCCAATAGATTTCGCGGCCTCACCACGACATCACAAAGGATGGTTACGTAGGAGGCCACCCAAAGAATAGAAAAGATGGATTTAGTGGCTTGGCTCATGTTGTAGAAGTGTTCCATACCATCCCAGATGGTCCTATGTTCTACCTGCTGGTATCCTGCTGGTCAGATGCAAGACTTGAACCATACCAGGCCGAGAGGTGGAGACGGCTGCGAGGAATTCAACGACGTCAGGCACCGTGGTTGAGGGCAATAGATTATGATCATAAGACATCACAAGACAAGGTAAGACAAGACAAAAGTCCATTAATCTTCAGATGGTATCAGGTAATAAGACCAATACACTGCATATAAATGAACTGCAAATAACACAAGAATTTGATTGCGGTTTTTTTTTACTTTTTTTTGCGTGGACAGCCCCCTGCCCTGAGCTTTGCCCAGGCCTCTGATCTTGATGAGGCTTCAGAAGCCGAGGCAAAGGCAACCGTCATGAGCACCACAGCGGCTTGGATCGGAAACGGTTTTTGGCCCCACAAATGTTTGGATTTTAGCGGGCTACAATGGGAGGTATCATGACGTATCCTTTGATCATCGAATCGAACATGGCTGAAAAACCCCTCATGAAAGTATACAGATGAGTTTTTGATCGATTTTCCATAGGACCTGCTCATTTTCTCGCGCACAGTTCAGCGATTTTCTCGTTGGACGCTAATTGCTAAGCTGCTAAGGTGAGTCTTGCCAAAGGCATGCTGGGCAGCGGTGTCGCTTCCTTAGTGCTGGCAGCACCTCCTGGATGTTTCTTTGGTCTTCCGTTGCTGCTAAGGCTCTATCACTCTCCGCAGGGGCTGCAGCTTTCACCCAGAGCTCGCAGGGGCTGCTAGTGGCTACGGTCATAATCATCAGCATGACTATGCCTGCCCCTCAGGTGTCACGTGGTGTCATATTGGTACCATGTTGCGATGGCACGCTTGCACCCCAGGTATCCCATGGTATCCCAACGATGTTTCAATTTCTGGGGCAGTTGGATCTCTTGGGCCATGGTCACATTGGGATCCCAGGCTCTCTGGATACACTTTCCAGATGGTGGCGGAGAGCAGTGCTGCAGCTCGGCAACAGCTATGTCGACACGGGAAAGGTGGGACTGTTCTCTAAGACTGCCATCAAACATTGAGGTTGGGTCAAATGTTTGAGCATACTTTATGACATCTTATGACCTGGAAGAATGGCCATGTCGATCTACAAGTTTTTCCTCTTTTCCCGGAAGTAGAATCAGTCACCTTTTGAAAACCCCTCCGAGAATTGGTTTATGTGCACAGGTTTTATCATTTTTTTGGCCAGCAAGATCTTTTGGAACCCCTAACTAACAGATGCCGAAATGTAACATTTTAGTTCGGAAAATAGTGATGAATGAAGCTGTTCTGAATCTGTTTTGGGGGTTACAATTACATAAATTACCCTCCAGTATTTGCTCATGTTGATTTTCTACCGTTATGGAACATATGTAGCAAATGACCAGAGGCCTAAGTCCTCAGCTCTGGGGTATACATCGTTATTTTCCAGATATCAATGGATTATAGCTAACAAATGCAAATAATGGGATCAGCTATTTTTGGATACAACATTATATAACTATTTTCCGGGATTATAAGTTGATAAATGATAATAAATGTCCATAAGTGATATATTCTGATATTATTTTGATATATACATATATTATATATCTATATAATTCTATATATGGTTCCTAAGCAGTTCGAAATGGCTGACTCCGGCGCCAGGACACGGGAGCAGCCGACTTTGGAAACACCTGGGCGGCCAGCGTGGGTGAATCCAGCGCGTGGCTTCCGCGCTTGGCAGTCGGTGGCATGGCAGGGTCGTATGGAGGGAGGGATTAAGCAACCGATTTAGCTGATTTTACCAGCAAAAATGATGGTTTGTTAATGGATTTAAGGATTTCATACGGAGATTTCACATGATGTTTAACCGACAAGATCGAAATTTGACCAATCAAAATGGGAGCTTGAACTAAGAATTTCCTGACTCGTGGTTCAACATGACAGCCAACCAACAAATCGGTGGATTTAAGATGATTTAAGCACCGATCTTCCACCTTGTTTTGGTTAACCTGACGAAGTGGCGGCACATGTTCTTAGAATGGTTGCAACATGCTAATCTCAATGGAATCTTTATGTATCCCGCTGGACTCTCGAATACGGCTTTGGGCCAGTGCCGAATCATCGCAAGATGACCATCCACAGCAACCAGCGAGAAAAACATCTATGAACTGATGTGAACAGCAGGGTGCTGATTCAGTGAACTGACACATACAAAACAAAAGCAGCCCCATCGATGTCAGAAATTCTGATATTGATGTGGTCTACCACATCAAACTACGAAGAAGATTGATTCATACCACCAACCAGATCCCAGCGCTTCAGCAGTCTGAGGCATTATGTCCTTCACCACCTGTACTGTCTATGCCACTCAGCTGATGTCGTTCGCCACATGGACGTCGTTCGCCACATGGACACCATAGAATATGCACAAATATCCATGAACGCCAGCTATTCTTGGGTGTGAACGGAGGGGTATTTATATAATGGTATTTATATAACCCATAGCCACATTGAGTGCTTGTGGAAGCTTGTTGTGAATTGTTGTTATTAATCACCGTACATATTATTAATGGGCATTTCAGGAACCTAAATCGGAGGTACCTACCATATATATATCTTGATGCCACGAACCTTTCTTCAGCATGTCAACAGATCAGCATGCATGGTGGATCATTCAGGCTCGAAGGAGCCAGCACGTGTGGAAACTCTGTCCGCTATGGTGGGAAAAGAGCGTCCTTTGGTTTGACCCGTGGAAGGGTGGATCACTGGTGAGATCAGGAGATCTCCAGGTTTCGTTGCCAGTCTTTGTGATTGGTAGCGGAGCCGCGGCTCCCTGCCGAGGCTCCAGTCAGGCTACCAGGAGGTGCCATAGACCACGAACCTTTCAATGTCCCAATCATTGAATAGCAGTGCCAATGACTCAGGTGGATTCAAGGTGTTCACAGGCGAGTCTGAAGACTACAAGGAGTACAAACGTTGGAAGCTGTGGATTTCCAACAAAATCCGAACTCTGGACAAACTGGAATCCAAAAACTATGGATCCTATGTGTTCACATGCCTGGGAGGCAAAGCCTTAGAGGCTATCGAGCACTTAGAACCGGCAGAATATCAGAAGGAGGGTGGTGATCTGGTCATTCTTCGGTTGCTTGACAAGCGCTTCCCGGAGAAAGAGAAGACTGACGAGATGGCAGAAATTCTTGGAGAGATTTTCAGCCTCCGAGCCAAGGAGGGAGAATCCCCACTGAGCTTTTCGACCGATGTGAGCGCAAAACTGGCGTCAAGTTTCCATCCGAAGCACAGGGGTGGATGGTCCTTCGCTGGAGTGGCCTTAGTGATGAACAGCAGGCTGTGGTCAAGGGCCGTGCCCTTGGTGACATGACACGTGACACCATCAGCACGTCGATGCGGTCGGTTTATCCTGACTTTGTTGTCAAGCGCCGTCCCGGCGTGGCTGCTGTCGAGGAGGTGCTTTCAGATGGCGAGCTCCAAGATGACGCTGGGGTTCAAGGTTTCGATGACATCGAACTTTTTCTGGCCGATTACATCACTAGTGATGATCTTCCGGAGGAACAGTTTGATGAAGAGCAGATCGCTGAGGTGCTAGCTACAACTTGGCGTGAAAACCGAGCCGAGATCAACAAGTTGCAGAAGCAGCGCAAGTTCACAGATGCCCGTGATCTCCGACGTAGTTTTCGGGTCGAGATTGAAGAGATGAAAAAGAAGACAAAATGCCATAGATGTGGCCGTACCGGTCATTGGTCCCGAGAATGCCGTCAAAAGAGAGATTTTTCTGGCAAAGGAAAGCCTTCAGGGTCCGGTGCAAAAGGGTCTGGTGGTGGCAAGGGCATGTCTAGTGAATCTGGTGCTGCCTTGGTTTCAACCGAGGCGACTGCTGAGCCTTTCTTTGTAGCTTCAGTGTTTTCAGAGATGACGCTGTTAGACAAGGTACGTCAGGCTGCTGCACCAGTGGGGTCGGATTTCGGCCTTCCCAACTCGGTAGATGAAGTGCTTCTGGTCTCCAGCCCCGGCTATGGAGTTTTGGACTCAGGTTGTGGGAAAACAATCATCGGAGAAGATACACTGCAACAGTTTGAAGATCTATGGATCAAGGCCGGTGTCAAACTTCCGGTCGAACGATCTGAGACCAACCAGTTTCGTTTCGGAAATGGCCAGGTTGAAACGTTTTCCAGACTGGTGGATCTGCCGGTAGGATTAGCTGGAAAGAGTGGTATTCTGCAAGCAGCTGTTGTCCGTGGAGCTGCACCGCTGCTGGTCTCTCGACCGGCCCTCAAGCGTTTGGGTGCAACTATCAACTTTGCAGAAGACCGTCTGAAGCTTTTTCATGATCGTTTGGAACTTCCTCTCCGAGTGAATGCTGCAGGTCAGTACATGGTAGATGTGATGCAGTTTGATGGCTTAGTTGGTTCTTGTGAATCCAACGCTGCCACATCCGTGCCGCCTGTGCCCGAGTCCTGCAACTTGCCAACACCTAAGGTACAGCGTGATGAACCCCATGTGAACCTTAAAACTAGTCCCCCCATTTCCCATAAACCTAAAACTGATAACTTTCCGGTTGAAACTACACTTGTCACTGAGTCATTTCCAATTGTCACCGATAACATTTCCCAGAGCACAAAGAATGGTGGAATTTCCAAGAAACAGTTACGCAACTTGAAGAGCCAAGTCAAACGTGCCAACAAGCCGTTAGGCCAAAAATATGCAGTAGTCGAAGTGTTCAGTCCTCCGCGTGTCGTGCCTCAGGTGGAGAAGATGGGTCTTCGAGGCCTTTCAGTCGACATCAAGCAGGGCTGGGATCTGACTGATCCGGTCACCCAATCGTGGCTGATGCGTGAGCTTGCTGAGTTCCCGCCGGAGCTCTTGATCCTGTGTCCACCTTGCACTGATGCTGGGGGATGGTTTCACTTAAATAAGTATTATATGACCATGCAGGATTATCTCCGTAGGAAACGTGCCTTGCGTATCTTCAAAGATTTTTGCAAGCAGCTCATGAAACAACAGATTGCAGCAGGTGGTAGGTTTGTGTTTGAACATCCAGTTGGCTCTGAAGTGTGGAGAGACCCAGAAATGCAGCAGTTTTGCAACGACTTGTGTTCGTTCACCACCGACATGTGTTGTTTTGATTTGCATTTGCCATCAACGGCTGATCGTGCCAAAGCCCGTATCAGAAAAACCACACGTTTGTTGGTTAGCCATCATGACATGAAAGAACACCTCTGTCGTCAGTGCCCAGGTGAGAGCGATGCCAAACATGCTCATCATGCCCAAATTGCCGGCTCACATCCAACTGTGGGCAAAGTGAGCGTGCATGCTGGCAAATATACACTGCAGTTTGTAGAGGCCATGCTGAGATCCGTTCCGGCACTCCGATCGGAAGAAGTCTTGTTGATTGAATCCCCCGAAGATAATGTATTGATCTCTGAAGTGTTAGCAGCCGAAGCTGAAGCAGTATCCGATGCCAAGTTGGAAGCTGTTTTGAAGCGTTTGCATAACAATCTTGGTCATCCTTCTCCTTCCGAATTGGTTCGGGTGTTGAAACATGGACAAGCCTCCGATCGTGCCTTGGGGCTTGCTGCAAAGTTCAAATGTTCGGTGTGCGAATCCATGAAGGGTCCAGCCATTGCAAATCCTGCCAATCCTAGCTATGTTTCAGTTTTCAATCACAAAATCGGGATCGATGTCAAACACCTTCAGGGCTGGCAACTGAACCAAAAGATCAGAGCCCTGAACATAGTGGACTATGCCTCCAATTTTCAGATGATGATTCCTTTCTTTGAAACTGAAACGGCAGCTGTGTTGCGTCGACTTTTGAATGAGAGGTGGCTGGCGTGGGCCGGTACACCACGTGAAATTGTCATGGGCCCAGCTCGCACCAATATCGGCAAGGCTTTGACAGAGCCATGTGAACTTGAAGGTACTCATGTTAGCATGACGGCGGCAGGTGCCCACTGGCAGTTAGGAAAGACCGAGGTTCATGGAGGACTCTTTGCCAAAGTGTTGTCAAAGGTTCTGTCAGAGCGCAATCCAACTTCCAAGGAGCAATGGCTTGACTGCGTTCGACACTGTCATGTGAAGAACAGTACCATTCAAACCCATGGTTTTACTCCTAGCCAAGTTGTGTTTGGTAAGAACCCTGATCTGCCTGGTGAGTTGCTCACAGAACCGCAGAATGCAGTTTCTTGCACAGCCGGTTTGCTCGAAGAAAGTGTCGAGCAAGCACAAGCCCTTCGTCATGCGGCAAAGAAGGCCATTTTGGAACTTCAGGACGACAAGTCCATGCGTCGAGCCTTAGCTGCAAGACCACGTCTTGCCAGAAACTTTCGTGCTGGCGATATTGTAGCTTACTGGCGAGATCAGAAGTGGACTCAAGGTAAGTTGTCGAAAGGTGGCCGTTGGTATGGATCTGCAGTAGTGATAGGACTCATCGGGAAGAATGTTGTCATTGCTCACAGATCTCATGTCCTCCGTTGTGCCCCTGAGCAGCTTCGTCTAGCTACCCCAGAAGAAAAGCAGCTAATTGATACACCTGAAACTCAGCTTTTGGGAGTAAAAGATATGTTAGAAGGTGGTACTTTCCGTAGTTCACAGTATGTTGACCTTCTGCATCAAGCTTATCCTTCGGTAGAGCATGACGTCATGAGAGAACTTGAATCCACCGGTGAAACACCAGATTCACCGAAAGCCGATGTCCCCATGCCTGATGGAGACATAGCTCCTGTTCCAGATACGGCCAATAGCGGTCCAGTGCCTGCACCAAATCCTGTCGGGATTTTCAATGATGAGCCAGCACCTGACTCGACAAGTGTCCCAGAGATTGAAGAGAATGCCAAGGCTAATGAACCTAGTGTCAATGTTGAATCACCTCAAGTGGAACCAGCTGCTGCCTCATCGTCCAGTGCCGGTCCTAGTCCCAAGTCCGTGGTTGTGGATAAATCTCCAGCATCAACATATGGTCCCCTTAGGAGAGTCCCAAGTAAAACGGGTCCCTTTGCCTTGCATCACCCAATGCCTGTTCAGCATGAAGATTTTGTCGAAGTGTTGACGGAAGTGTTACCAAAGATGCTGGAGGATGCTGTACAGAGCACCAAACGCGGTGCCACGGAATCCACCGAAGAGCCACAGCCCAAAGTCCCTCGCCGTGAGAACGAGCAATTGAGTGTGCAACCCTCTGCATGTGATGATGGATCTCTGACAACTGCCGACGCTCGAGAGTTGTGGAATAATCTTCAGAATGGTGCTACCCATGAAGTGTTGTACGCTCAATATCTGCAAAAGCGCATGCAGAAGGAGCTCCATCACAGCAATAATGAGCCATGGTTGCAAGGCCAGGTTGATGCAGCCAAGATAGCTGAGTGGAATACCCTTTCTGAAAAGCAGGCAGTCCGTCTGCTCAGCAGTGCCGAAGCCGCTTGGGTCAAGAAACATACTCCCAATAGAATCATGGGTAGTAGGTTTGTTCTTACACGCAAAGCTCAGGAGGATATCATCGAAACTGGTCAGACCCCTGATGTCAATAACCATGAACATTGGAAGGTGAAAGCTCGTTGGTGTCTGCAAGGACATCTTGACCCAGACCTGTCAAGCAAGGCAGTCTCCGGCATGTTGCAGAGCCCTACGCTCTCACAGATGGGCCGCATGGTTCTTTTCCAACTGCTTTCCAGTAATAAGTGGGTTTTGCAATTGGGGGACATAAAAGGGGCTTTCTTAGAAGCTGGACCGTTAGATCCCAAATATAAACCACTATATGCCTGGTTGCCAGCAGGTGGAATCCCTGGGGCAGACTCTTCACAGCTTGTGGAAGTGCTTGGAAATGTGTACGGGCAGAACGATGCACCTGCGGCATGGTACAAAGTGTTCGACTCCGAAGTGTTGAAAACAGGTTTTGAGAGAAGCAAATATGATCCTTGCCTGTATTATCTGCGAGATAAACAAAACCGTCTTTGTGGAGTACTAGGAGCACATGTTGATGACACTGTGACGGGAGGATCAGGTGATGCCTATCTCAAGGCCTTGGCTCAGTTGAAAAATAGATTTCCATATAGGAAATGGAGAGTCTCCGAAGGAGAATTTTGCGGAGCTCACTACTGCCAAGATGCGAAGACCGTGGAAATCACTATGAGTCAACAGGTTTTTGCACAAGGGTTGAAACCTGCATACATGCCAGCCGCTCGAAAGAGCCAACGTTCTAAGTCCTTGGACTCCAAAGAGATCAGTGTTTTGCGAGCAATTAATGGTAGTTTGAATTGGCTCTCTAGCCAGTCACGTCCTGACCTTGCCGCTCAGACCAGTCTCAGCCAGCAAGCAATGTCCAATCCGACTGTTCATCACTTGTGTGAAGTCAACAATGTTATTCGTCGAGCTAAACAGCATAGTGATCTCAGTATTCGTTTCAAAAGCATTCCTGTGAAATCTCTTCGTTTGGTGTGTCATAGCGACGCGGCATGGGCAAATGTTGGCGTGTTCACCCAAGCCGGGTATATGATCGGCTTCACTGATGACAGCTTGGATAAGGGAGAACTTTCACCCTGGACACCAGCAGTTTGGAAGAGTTTCAAATTGTCTCGTGCTGTAGGATCCACGTTGTCAGCAGAAGCCCAAGCAATGGTAGGTGCCACAGGAACGATCGAATGGACTTCCTTGTTGTTAGCTGAAGCAATTGATGGTTCTTTTGATGTGCGAGACTTTGAAAATATGCTCAAGCGTAGGCCACCTGTGGTTGTCACTGACTGCAAAAGTCTTTACGATCATTTAGTGTCTGTTTCCTCACCAACCTCAGTAGATGATCGTCGCACGTCAATAGATGTGGTCATACTCCGCCAGAGTCTGCAGCGCACAGGCGCATCCTTGAGATGGGTGCCGACAAATAGAATGATTGCAGATTCTCTGACAAAAGATGCCGGTGACCCGGCAGATTTGCTGAGAGCTTGTATTCGTGAAGGAACCTACCAGATCAGTCCTGAAGAAACCGTTCTCCAGTTACAAGCACTTGAAAAGCAAAGACGCCTAGATCGAAAGAACAAAGCCCTTTCTCAGTCAAACAAGTGAATTCGTTTTCAGCCCTTATACCACCTGATTTGTACATAAGGATTATTTTTCCAATTGTGCTGCGTAGTTTTGCCTGAATGCGTAGCTGCTGATCTTGGGGAATTCGTTTGCCTTTGTAGCCCTTTTTCCGTTCCGAGCTTAAAATTTGAGGTGTTTCAGAAGCGTGACTTCTGATCCGTAGTGCCCAGAATGTCCCATAGCAAAGTTGCCATGAAGCCACTCTCGCCTGAAGAGCGTGAGTTGCTGAAGGTGCTCCAAACACGCGCTCAGGTGCCTGCCGAGGATGTGCCCTCTCTTCCTCGGGCTTATTCTGAGAGCGATTGGAGTTTGGTGCCAGGGTCATCTGCGATGACCGATGCCTCCAAAGCGCCGAGAGGAACAGACTCCTGATCGAGCGGTCCGGCACATGGCCTATGCTCCTGGAGATATGATCTCCACACCTGTGGCTTCCTCTACAATGATGGAGCAGCCACTCATGCAGTTTGGGGTCACTCGCCGCGGCACACCTGTGCTCCTTCCTCCGGGAGTGTCATCTTTGGAGAATTGGAGCCGCACCGTCTTGGATTTCGGCAAATACATGTCCTTGAATCTGACTTATGGACAGATGATTTCTTCGGCCGATTCTGACATTCGAAGTTATGTCAAGTGGTGCCGTGGACAAGTGGACAACGCCGAGGGTTTCTTGAAAGATTTTGGGATGTTCATTCTGGCCAGCGAGTTTTCTCCGGATCAGGGCCCAGTCATTCCTGGCACTTCTCATGCTCGAAAGATTCGCTAAGGTGATCAAGTTCATCCTTTTGAGGTTCCTCTATGGCATCTTCCTTGAATATAACGACTTTGGGCTGAGTCGAGTTTTTGATTTTATACCAGTCTTGATGCCAC